TGTCCAATTTGGGTCCCAGAGAGCCCCAAAATATAATGCCTCTATTTGGTTGTTGTTGAAAAAATAGAACAGCTGAAATATCATAAATATAATTATTCAACAGAGGAAGAGAAAAATAGCCGTGCTGGACCAGAGGGGCTGGAGGAGGGTGTTCACGGCTCCTCCACTATGAACTGGCCCTGGGATCCTCAGTAAGTCACCCAGTCGACTCTCAGCCGCTTCCACAACTGCGGCTGTAAAATGAGGCGAATCCTATTTCATTTGCCAGAGGAAGCAGGCTGGCTCATGTGATACGAACTCAAAATCCCTTCCAATTCTAAGACCTGTAATTCTAAGGAGCTGGAATGTCTACAGCTAACCTCGCCTCCCCCGCAAGCCAAACATTTCCAGCTAATTACCTGCACGGTGGACACACTGCTTCCTAGCACCAGGCAGAGAAAACAGCGGGAAGACGCACACCTCCAGCCGCAGACCTCAACGGGTGTTGTGTCTCTTTACGTCTTTAAACCCCCAATGTGGGGGGACCAGGATCGCCGGGACTAGGGTGTCTCTCCATTCCTTGAACCCCCGGCCCTGCTCCGAGAAAAACCCAGCACTCTTTCTTTTAAAAAAAATCAACACACATGTATCATTTCCTGTCTCCAACAGCAGTTTCGCCCCTCCCCATCGATGCTCGAGCACCAGACAGAAAATACTCTTCCAGTTCTTGTGGTTCCTTCTTCTGGTGCCTCTCTCCGTTGTTTCCAATGCCATGTGGTTATATACAACCGTTTCCCAATTTGCAGATTTAAATATTATTTTAGGACTTATTATGGAAGAAGACTTAAGCTATTTCATACACCCCCAAGTATCTGTCTATAATGCAAATATTTCCCCTAATCCCCAAGCTTTAGAGCCAGAATCCAGCCACTCAGCACAATGACAGCTGAAGCAGCGGCAACACCTGACCGTAGATTCTAGATCAGCCTGCTCTAGAAGTATGTATACGTACAGCTGCGTTCTCCCAAGAGCACATTAAAATTATCCTTGTCTATTTACGAAGATTCTAATAACAATTAAAAAGTGATCGTAGACTTTGGCAGCAGTAAATAAACCACTAGGTTTTAATGGACCCAACCTTATGGACAAGGGAAAATTCTTCATTAAATGGCCATAAAACCCAGAGCCCTTCTAGTTCTCTATGGTCCATTTTTCCTACTTCTCCTCTTGTAGGCTCTGAACCCTTTGGCCTCAGAGTCTTCAACTGTAGGGAGCTCAGAGAAAGTGAGTCTGAAGTTGGGGAGCAAACCAGATCAGCTTATTCACGGAGCTAAACTATTCCTATCTCAGGCTGACAATGGGCCTCCCCTCCGAGATAATGCCAAAGCAGGCGTCTTCTCTGCAAGACAAAAGTACAACAGAAGGAACAGACTCGAGGGTCTTTCCATTCTGTCCTTAAGTCTCCCCAAAAATGAAAGTCTCCCAGAAATGAAAGAAACTAAAAGCTGTCAGGGGCATTAACAAGAGTGTGCCAGCTCTTAGCAATGCCAAAAAAAAATCCTGTTAAATAGAATGTTAACCTTTCTTGTTGTCGTTGCTTTGCATTTTTTGCATTACTCACCTTCCAAATTTTACCAAATATCTCAGGTCTCACACCTGCATATTTAATGCAGGGCACGGCCATGCCATGTAGGGATTTGTGTTCACCTGCGCCAGTCACTATAACTGCGGTCCCCATGAGCAGAGGGGGCCAGGATGAGACTGTGTTGCAAGGGGGAGGGCCAAGAAGCCACAGGAGCAGTCAAAAGCTTCCAGTGAGCAACAATGCTAGGAGCTCTGCTCCCATTTGTAGATTCAGCAGAAAACACAGCTAGAAAAACAACCAAGCATCCCTCAAGATCACCCAACTTTGCATCGCTCCCCCCGGATAACAATACGGCAAATGAATAAAATATGCAAACCTATGACTGTTAGCCCCTGTATCTGGGGTTCAGACCACCTGTTTTATTGAGCACCTTTTAGAGCAAAGCTTTACAGGGTTGCTGAGACTGTACCAGTGAAATGTCCTGCTTTTAATTAGAGGAAGGTTCATTTGTTCGGCAAATAAAAAATTTAAAAACAGAAAAGGGCAAGCTTCCAAATGGCAAGACAGAAATCACCAACAGAGTGCTTTGGAATTTTAAAGGAGACAAAACAGCTATAAGCAATGGGAGGGAGAAAAAGGATACACGAACGAATCAACAGCCCAAACTCAGAAAATCATCGGGAGTCTATGCTGGTGGCAGTGGAAGGGAACGGAGTGGCAGGGGGACCCCGAGAGGGTAACGGCGCTGGCGAGTGGCCACAGATGCACGGGCAGGGTATGTGTGCGTGTGTGTATGCACACACATGTGCATGAGTGCACATGCCAAGCAGGACATTAATTTTCCTGAGGAATTACAGCACAGTTTCACAATCCTGAGGAGTCAGGAGGACAAGCTGGTTTGGGGGAGAAGCAGGACAGCCAGGGAAGTGTGAGCAGGGACAGCCCATGCCTGGTGAGTGCCCAACGGCTCTGGGGGGGATTGGGGTCTCTCTTCCCCGACTTTATTTCCCAACACAGAACACACATCAGCATACTGTCCACAATGGCCTGTGCTCCTTCTATGCCGAGGAAAACCCCTGGCTCTAGAGGCAAAGATAACCTCCTGGTTCCTCAGGTTAGACCCATACACACGCTCTTCTCCCAGAAAGCCCTCATGGTTCTGGTCCATCCATAAGTTGTTTAGAAGGTCTTCTTGTCATGTATACTCTATCTGTCATAAATGAGTTCCAAATTCTAAATGTCTGTCCTATCAGTGAAAGTTTGAGAACACAACAAGCTTTGGGAAGCTGTAGACTCTATAAGGAGTCAACACGCAGCTCCTGTCCTGGGCTTCAGCTTTTGGGCGCTTCACTTACCCAGGGAGGAAGCCCCTGACGACCCTCCCCAGCCTTCCAGGGGATGAGTTCCTAACAGTCAAAGCACTGAAGACGAGGGCTGCCCTGGGGAAGGGAGCTGCTGTTATTAATAGGCCCTTGTTTGTAAACAAACGGAATGAAGGCAGACAGACACCGGGCCTGCCTGGAATGCAGCTCCCTGGAGCTCCTCCTCCACTGAGTATCTGGAAACAGCCCTGCTGTTTCCACACCTCCTCCTGGGCATCCGGCACCACCCCAGCGCAGCAAGTCGAGCCCCTGTGGATTAGGGGATGAAACCAGGAGGGATGCTGGCTTCCATCACCCCTTTCCCTCTTGCCCTCTCACGATTCTATAAATCACTTCTGGCAGGTAGCTGGGAAGCAGCTGCGAATGACAGTTTCGCTCTGGAGCACAGGAAGCCACCTTTTAACCCGCCTGCTGTTGTTTGTCTCTTGAAAAAACGTGACAAAGGAACAGATGTAAGCAACATGCCAACTGTTGAGAGGGTCTGCTCGGAGCACTATAGGAAGCCTGTTCAGCGTCCCAGCACACCAGGCGCTCAATGGAAAGACAACTGAATTCATTTCCCGACACCCCTACCTACTCATGCCCTGGTCCCCTCAGGCAACTCGCCACACACATCCCTGCTTCTGCCTTCGCGCGTGCTGCTGCCCAGCTTCGAAGCCCCTTCCTGAGCGGTGTTCAGAGGCCACTGAGAAACAGGTCAGCCTCCCCTCCTAGAGGTCTTCTCTGACCCCCAGGCCCCTGCCTATAGAGTACCCTGGTCAAGAATACTTTCCAGTCAGGGCCCTTCCACGGGTCAATCCAAACCGTCCTGTTATCTCCATGAGGACTTGAGGCACACTTTACACACCTCTGTATTCTCATGATGAGCGCACTGGGAAACATGTTTAAAGGGCTGCAGCCAATATTTAAAAATATGAAATAAAAAGAGCTAATGAAAGATACTCTCGGGGTAAGTCAGGAACTAGGAGGGAACTACCAGATGATTATTACAACATTCCTATTAATTTTTCTAGGTATAGTAATGATGTTGTGTTTTGTAAGAGGATGCCTTATGCCTAGAAGATGCATGCTGAAGTATTCATAGAATTAAAGCCCTGAAGTGACTTACTTTCAACTGGATTGGCCAAAACCAAAACTGAAACCACATGTGTGCGTGCATACACATGTGTACAGATAAAGCAAATGGGGAAGAATGTTTCAGCTGCTGAATCTAGGTTTTCACTGTGTTCTTCTTCTAATTTTCCTGTGGCGCTTTAAAAGTCTTGTAATAAAAAGTGGAAGGAAATGAAATGGAAGAGGAAAAAAAAAACAGAATGCAGAACACGAAGTATGATCTGGTTTCAGGTGTCTACAGATGTGCTTTTGTGTCGCAGGTTACAATGTAAATGTATTTCTTCCTGTGGGTCAAGACCAAGAGTTTGAAAATGCTGCCCTACAGCTTTCTCGCTGCACTAAGCATACTGCAGGCCTGCAATGGACTATTTGTTAATTAATGTCTAGAACCACAGGACTTCAGTGCAGAAGCAAGCTGAGAAATTATTAGGTCTCCAGTTATATCCTATTAACTCAAGCTGTGTCAGACTATCCAAGCCCTTTCCTGTCTTTGCATGTGGGCTTCACCTCCACTCAGGCCTTTCTTATCAGAGATAAGAAAATCAGATAAGAAAAGCCTTCAGGCCTTTCTTATCAGATGTTTAATTACTCCTCGGAAAGGCTATTCTGACTTTCCCCGGGGTGCCAAGGAGGGGTTAACCCAAGACTCTGAGTAGGGTGATCAGGTGTCCCGGTTTGCCTGGGCTTGAGGTGTCTCGCAGACCGAGGGGACTCTTAGTGTTAAAACTAGGACAGTCCCAGGCAAGCCAGAGAGCTGGTCGGTGACCCTGGATCTCAGGGAAGACTGCATGAGAACCTTGGACAGATCGGGGACAGCTCTTCCTCATGGCATCCCAATGGCGACAGCAAATGCCAGACTGCGAAGTGTCTCCTACACCCTTAGAGCCTCTCTCCGATTATTCACTAACTAATCTGGAAAGCAAAGGGCAAAGGGAGCTTACTGTGAAGACATCATCATCGCCAAGCTCTGCTTCATTATGGATGGTGGAAGATGATGTGGTTGAGCCTAAAAAGATTAAAAAAAAAAAAAAAAAGTAGTAAGACGCATTTCCAAAGATGATAAGTCAAAGTCAATCATTTAAAAAATATATTTTAACAAAACCACATTCCATTTCTTTTGAATGTGAGTCATCAACAGAAATATATAACCTGGGAATTAAATGTTTTTAATTTATTCCTCTTCAACGGACTCTAGCTAGGATGTTGTTCCCTAAATTAAATCTGTCTACTGTTGTTCTCAATCCTTCAAACTTCTGCCTGGAAAACTAGAGAAGCAGCACCCAGAGCGGCACCTCAGAGAGGATGGCGGGGGGGTGCTGCCCATAGCTCGCAAGCACGCGCACCTCAGGCAGCCTCTGCCAGTGGCACCCCAAGGGGAACCCACCACAATCTCCATGTAAACTGGACTTACTTTCCCCATCTTTTCATCTGCCAACAAGAGGGTTTGACGAAATGGCTTGCATGGTCACCTCTTGTTCTGAAATGCAGACACTAGACTCAAAAAACCCAGATTGGGGGAGCTGCCTTCTAAGCTGACACCCATGCAGAGAGGTTTTCTCTCGCAATGTTGGGGCACCAGTGAGGTTTCCATTTCTGCAGGCCAAAATTTGGGCTCATGCCCGAAAACCCAGTTTATTCCATTATGGAATGATTTGGGCACGTAGGGTTTGATTTATTTACGTGTTCATCTCTTTCTTCCTTCTGGTATGCACATCCACGTAACTTCTTCCTTTTCCCCTAACAGTACCCGATACTGGACGGCCCATCTTAAAAGATGATGTTAATGGTCAAAAGGAAACACATATTTAAATCTGCGTAAGTGATCTAGGTATACTAACAGGGAAATTTCTTCTCCATCTCCTTTTCTTGGTTAGATCTTTAAAAATGTGCATTTAGAAAATATTTTGCTATTCCATAAAACTGAAATTAAGAGAACTGCACAGAAAGGAATGAGAACTGTTTAAATTTCTATGAGGGATTGGAGGAGAAAAAAAAAAAGTCCTCTGCTCAATTACTACCAATCTTTCAGGAGTTTCCTCAGCTAGTTCAATATTTCTAGTCAACTGATGTTTGAGGAAAATTTGACAGAAAACAGCTAGGTAGATAATATACAGAGAAAATTTTAAGTCACATTTGTGTTCAGCTTCAGTGACTATATGGACATACAGCACAATTCTATCAATAAGAGCTATTTTCTTTGTAATTATTTAAAAGCTATGTATGATAACATTTTAAACATTTGCCACCTTAGGTCAGACCCATAATGTGAACACTGGTGTTTACTATCCTTTTGGACATCACATGGTTCTAGCGAACAGACTCATGTTCTAGCTCGAATTGTCTCACTACTGACGTTGAGCAAGTTTTCTTAATAAGATTTGCTTTCTGCTCTCCCCCAAATCCACAAAGAAGAAAAGGACTTCAGAACACTTTAATTCTTAAACAAATGCAGTAACCCATTCTTATTAATCAGTCTCCCCAAATTCTGAATTTGGCTTACACATGCCTTGCTTGATTCTTTCTTTTCTAATAGGGCCCGGGCTGTGGCACCTTTAACTCTCCGAATGGATAACTGAATGTGTCGAGAACTTGTGCGTTTGCCTGTGTGGACCCTAGAAAAGCCTATGAGAATGGAATGCGCAAGAGCCTTTCAGGTCGTGGTCAAATGCAACCCAATGTCTCCTACCCACTCACCCACAGACTTAAGGCCTAACCCCAACCAGGGCTCCAGGAGATCCCCTTCCCTTTCCGTGCAAACACCCTGGGCTCTCATTACAGGAAGGCAGTGGGAAGGCCTGGCACCTTTAGGGCCTATTAGAGTCACTCTCCCATTTCTAAGTCAACATGGATCACACCAAAGCCATTTCAACAGTTAGGGAAAGGTTAACTCTGTCAAAAAGTCACTGACATGAAGTCCAGAACTTACCTTTTCGGAGCAGAGTCTAAAAACCAACTGGGATCACCCCGTACTCTGAAACCTATCTCCTTTTCCCCTGCATTGTCACTTGGTAAACCACAAATACAGGATGGCAGACAACTGGAATAAAAAAGGCCTCGGAACATTCCCACTGTCTCCCTAAGAGCACAGTGACAAGACGTGATACCTTCTATAAGGTCCTCGATTGCTTTCCTCACTCCCCTGTCAAAGGCTCGAGCATCAGCCGGGCTTTGGAAAGTAAGTCCAAACTTCCTATTGTCGACCTTCCAATGATGAAAGGTTGGGTTGGCTTTGGTGTAGACCAAGTCCTTTCTTACATAGCATTCCAATACCACCTGAAGGATTGAAACACAGAGGCTGGTTACTTGTGAAGGAGTCGGGATGGTGTCTGGTTGCCAAAATCCTAACCAGGAAACATGCATCATTAATGGCAACTAATGAAAACCCTCCATCCCTGCCTTCTTGTATCTATGAGTCTCTCCAACTTAAAGGAAGCCTTTGTTTGCCTCATGGACCATTGCTCTTTGTTGACCCTGCCGTGCTGGCCTTTGGTGATCTTCACTGTACTTTTTTTTTTTTTTTTAAGATTTATTTATTTAGTTATTTATTTGTTTGACAGAGATCTCGAGTTACGGGAGAGGCAAGCGGGGTTGTGGGGGGGAGCAGGCTCCCCGCTGAGCAGAGAGCCCAATGTGGGGCTCGATCCCAGGACCCTGGGATCATGACCTGAGCCGGAAGGCAGAGGCTTTAACCCACTGAGCCACCCAGGCGCCCCCTCACTGTACTTAACCATCCTGGTTCTCAGTCATTTTGATTCCTCCTGCCCCTGATGGGGAAGGGGCCGTGGGGGTAGGGTGAGGGTGGTTTCTATGCTGATGGTCCAGGTCTTGGGGCTTTGCTCTGTTTCAGCTTTACTGCTACTATGTCAGGGCCTTTGTTCTAATGGCTCTCAACCTTCTCTCTTCTGTCCTGATGGCTATTTCCCAGAGACCGCACATGCAACATGTTGAAAAAATTAACTAACCTGTTCTGAAATTTCTGCCAATTTCCCACATCTAGCAATGCCAACCCTTCTCTGTTCATGCTCCCAGCTCAAAATCTCTGTGGTTGTCTCTGTCCCTGGTGCTTTCCCCCTAACCTGTATTATCGACCACCAGGTCCATGTTTGCTTCAACATCTTCTAGATCCACCTCATTTCAGTTGCTCCCACCCTAGTCTATTAAACTTTTATCTGGATTATGCAAACAATCTCCAAGCTTTTAGTGATCTAGTCCCAGAAGTGCCTTTTACTAAACTGTGACTTGGAGCTGATTGTTTCAGACCCTTGATCTTTTCATCTTTAAAATGGAAATAATAAGGATATCAACATGCTTGGAAAACACTGAATGAGAAACTTAACAAGGTCATACTAATTTCCCAGGATATTCCCACCATCACATTCTACTTTCACTCCCATTCTTACTGCGACCTTCACAATTTGGTACTTGATTTCACAGTATTTTCTAACAGTTTCATGTGCGTTAGCCCTGTGTCCCTAACCAGGCTGCAGAAGACCAAGATACATTACAAAATAACGGTATGGCCAGCACAGTGTTGTTGGTGACAAAGATACCAGGATCTAAGATTATGCCATCAAAGCAGCACTGCCCTCATGTGAATGTAGACGTCCTTCTTTATTCATAAAAAACTCCAAAATAGCGACCATATTCATTCCTATGGCTTCATTAGCTATACCAAGATCATTCTGCTAAGTTTTAATAGCTTCCACCTTGTTCTGGCAAAGCTCCACATTTAACAGAATAAGATCTTATTAATTTTAGACTAAGCGAAGGGCAAGAGTAAAGCCCTCCCTAAGTCAGTGTAAGTTCAAATCAGAGAACTTTAAATGCATAGAAGTTTCAAGAGTGCATCTAAGCAAACAGAAATTAAGTGCTGCCTAATAAATGGTCTGACTTAATAAACAGAGGAGTGTACTAGTCACACTGGTATAGCAAATGGAGGTCCGCAGCAGCTAACTTTATCCCGTTATATTGAAAGAAGACAACGGTCTCCTCGCACAGTTCTATTTATGATTAAATTGCTTATTATGGCCATTTTTCTCTAAGAATAGTGCAATGATTAAATGTCAGCCCAGCCCCATTCCAAATTGGGGAAATCCAAATAACCAAGGCTTTAACTAACAAATGTTATCTATTTTAGAATTTAATAGTCTCAATTCAAAGCCTCAAAATAAACTATTTATAAAAACAAAGACTTCCAGTTTCTCCATATTTTTTGAAAGTCAACTTTACTCCAACGTAGGGGCTTGAACTCATGACCCCGAGATCAAGAGTCTCATGCACTATGGACTGAACCATCAGGTGCCCCTCTCCACGTTTTTAGGATGAAAAAAATTAGTCTTTGGTTGATGTTTTCCACGTTTAAGATTCTCCCAGTAGCAAGTTTTCTTAGAGAAGTTATAAAATTCTTAGAAAAGTTCAGCTACCTAAAATAAGTGAGGGAAAAGGGCTCAGTACCATCTCTTTATGTCCTGTTAAACAAAATAACATCACTACATATCTAGGTTTAATGACAACAATGAGAAAGTTCAGGTGTTTTCATCTTCACAGGTATAAACACTCTAGTGAAGTCTGGCTTAACTTAAACCTTGAGAAAGGCTTTAAACAGATTACCTTTTTAAATGAAATGCATGGGAAAAAAAAAAGGTCATTAAATGTTCTCATTGGGAGCTTTAAAAGAATCTATACCAGAAATGCGTATTTTCAAAGATTTAAGTAAATCTACACAAATACATGAAGGATTCACTCTGGCTCATCTGTCCTTCCCCACTCTCAATGCTTCTTCACTTCCAGAGTCAGCTGCTGTCAGGACGGGGGACACAGAGCCAGGTCCCTTCCTGCGGCTTCCTTATATACGCACCTAAGATTCTGTGTGAGTGTTTTTAAATGTGGCCACACCTATTACTGGCTCGCAATTTGCCTTTTATTTTCCTTGAGAACACATTTTAGAGACAGATACAGGAAAGGAAGAAGTTTCATTTCATGGCTCAGTATGGATACGTTAGAATTACTCAGCCATTTTCCACACTGATGGGCGCAGGTGATTTCTGATCAGTCGCTTTTAGAGACAGTGCTGCAACGAACATCTTTATACATGTACTCAAATTTTGTTTTGCGAGCTCTTGGAGCCCTCCCACTTACCCCCTCCTCACTTCATGGGATCCAGGGTGGCAAAACAATTTTCACATAGGGGCACCTGTCGGTTAGGTGGCCGCCTTTGGCTCAGGTCATGATCTCGGGATCCTGGGATTGAGCCCTGGGTCTGGCTCCCCGTTCCGTGGGGAGTCGAGTCTCCGTCTCCCTCTGCCTCTGCCTCTCCTCTCTCACTCACTCTTGCTCTCTCTTAAATGAACAAATAAAATCTTAAAAAAACAAAACAAAACAAACTATTTTTGTTTTGCAGGTTTTGCCTTTTCCTTGTGTTGCCCTTCCTGGTGAGGGTGCACAAGGCACAGCGAGGAAAACCTTGGTGCTGTGTGCTGTTCACGCACAGAGGCAGTGCAGCGGCACCAACGTCCACACAAATCACTGGCTTCGTCACTGCCACAAAGGCCATGCAGAAAAGGCCAGTTTTAGGTCAGACTGTCCTCGAGGAAGCAGTTAACAAGTATTAAGTCTTGCCCCTTGAACACAGAGCTTTGATCCCATGTGCTGCAGTGGGATGTGCATAGAACGGGACTCTCCTATCTGCTTTTGCCTTCAATCTACTCTCCTACGTTGCTCTGGCTTAAGTATTATGAAGAAATGTCATAGTATCAAATGTCAAATGTCAAACGCACAGACGGAGAGGGAGGGGCACTTCTCACAGCCTGTCCACTTCTGCTGCATATGGGAAGAATGACGACTGTCTCAAGGAAAAGTACTCGTGCAACTGTTTCAGTTGTGACTTGAACGGACTGCCTTTTCCGCAGATCACCAGGCTCACTTGAAAGAACCACCAGCAGATGGACTATAGTTATTCGGACCCAGGATTTGGCAGATACTTTCTTGAAAATGAACACAGTAAGCCTGTCACTTCAAGGAAAACAACTGGAGGTATTTGCTGCCAATAATAAAATCTGATCTTTCCAGTGAAATCAGAATATTGGATAGCTTCCCAATACTTAACTTTTCTAATGATATTAGTGGTGAGGTTAAGAAATGTGATTTTTTTTGACACTGCAGGATTAAATGTATCAACGTTTGCAAGATCTGCTGAACTCAGTAAGCCATTCTTTTTCAAATGACATGATGTTAAAAAAAATTAGGAATGAGTAAAAGGTCCACTCAAGGTGAAAGATAAGCCAGCGGATTTTAACGTAACAGGGTACGCAAAGTTCATTCATGTGGATTTGGATCGCACATTTCAGAAACTACTACAAGCGGAGTTTTGGTGGGGTATCCAAGCACATCTACATTTACCTGAAAAGTCTATTAATATTTTTCTCCCCTTTTGAACTACTTATCTGTGTGAAGCTGGATTCTCCTCATATACTTCAACCAAAACAACAAACTGCAACAGCTTGAAAGCAGGAGGAGATATTAGAATCCAGTTATTTTTCTATTAAGCCAGATATTAAAGAGATTCGCAAAAATATAAAGCAATGGTTCTATTTTCTCCAATTATTTTTGTTCGGGAAAATATCATATGGTGACTTGTCATAAATAATTTTTTAAATTTCAGTTTTAATTTCCAATATGGTAAAAATAAGTAGCTATAACTCACAAAACGAAAAGCCTTTTGCAATCCTCAATACATTTTTAGAGTGTAAAGGAATCCTGAGACCAAAAATGTTTGAAAACCACTGCTTTCCTTAAGTCTTTGTGTGCAAGTCTATCACTACAGGATGGGGTTTAAATATGAAACCGACACGTTAAAATGTATGTACACTTAAAATGAATGCCCTGACAAATTGCCGTTCAAAGAGCGTTAGCCGTTGGAACTCCCACAAGCGGGCACGTATGCTCACAGACCTGCCCATGTACAACGCAAGGAATGACCAACCTTTTAGAGCATGGGGTTCATCTTCGTAGGGTGGTTTCTCATGGGATTTAAGGAGTAAACGTCTCTAGTTTATCTAAAACGATTCAACTCAGACATTTTACATTTACATATAATTTCTCAGGAAAACTTCATCGTCCCCAACTTAAAAAAAAATATCTAAATAACAATTTCTGATTGAATGTCTGGAACAGACTTTTCCCATGGAAACAATGGTAACTCTATTCACAGGCTTCAACATATAATTCAAATAGTAACAAGAACCAATGTGCTAAATTCTGGAACTGTACTACACTGGAAAAACTAGTGGTAACACTAGTTTTCTATCAGAAAAAGCATTTCTTGTCCTAATTGGAATACTAGGAACTCTGATATCATCCATCCAAAAATGACCTCCACCCTCTCCTCACCATTTTACCACTTGTGAGAGGGGGTCCTTCAACAACCTACCCCATCTGCAGGCTCCCTACGAGGGTCCATACCCTCCAGTGGGGCAGGAGTGCTGTGTTACGAAAGCTTGGAGGTCCGAGGAGGAGTCACAGCATCTCTAAACGGTGTGTGTATGTGTATTGTGGGACAGGGTAGGGGGGATTGGGGTTAAGTACCACCGAGAAGAAGAGTCTAGAATTTCCCAGAGTGTGAGGGGTGGAGAGATGGGGAAGCACAAATGGGTATACGGGTGTTTGATTTCAGTTTGAGGGCATACAAAAGTCTAGAAGTGTAGAGTCACGAGAATTTAGAGGGGACAGGAAGAGAAATGGGGTGACTGAGACACATGATGGGTTTTGGGGGGGAGGTGAAGAGAGGATGAGGCACACAATCCTTGTGCAATAGCAACAAATAACAGAAGCTCGTCCACAACCAGGACTGCCCTATTACCTGGCAGAGTTAGTGTGCGGGGACCAGGTTTTGGCCTCACAGTGAAATGGTTTCCAATGCTGGCTCTGCTACTGACCACGTGCCTACATGGAGGAAATGGATCGCTTCTTGGAGCACTGAGTTTCCCCACTGCGAAGTGGAGATAAAAGTATCTTCCTCCTTCAGAATGTTACAGGAATTTAGCTGAGGTCTTTTGCATAAAGTGCCCTGACCAAAATGGTAAAAGTTTCCAATTATTATGTATAAGTCCATGGTGAGATACAAGTTTATAAATGTATTTCTAAAATGAAGGGGCTGGATCAGAGAATCTAAAGACAATGTTAGGTTGACATAGTCTACGACAGACCATGAAAATACCAAGAAAAAAAGAGATCTAAAAAGATTTAACTGCTCAGGCAAGATAATCTGCTAACACAAAAGTAATAATAAAAATAAAAAGGGAACAAGTGAAAAAAATTCTATCATAATTTTTGCTAGAAAACTAACACTAAAATAAAAAGGGAAGCAACAAATTATAAGGGTATTTGCAGTAAATAAAGCAGATGAAGATTAATATCTTTCTTATATAAGATGGCACACATAGCAAGGAGAAAAATAAGGCCCCCAACAGATAAATAAGCAAAGGACACTGACAGATAATTCATAGTTATAGCTGCTTAACAAACAGAAAAACAATGATACCATTAAGTACTCAATAACATGATACCACTGTTACTCTGTCAAATTGGTAGAGACTTAAATATATGACCCCCCCCGTCACCATGTGTTAAAAGAAATTCTCATACATACTGGCAGCGGTTCTTTGTATAAGAATCCAAAGTCATAAAAATTTGACCCCCTAAATTCTTCCAAGAAAATAGTAAGTGTGAAAAATGTAAGTAGGTCATATGAGGTGGTGGGGGAGGGTGGGAAAGTACCTTAATATTTATAATTAACCCTAAGGAGATCAAATAAACAATGTTCTATCAACCTGATACCAGCAATTAGGAAAATTTCTTATGAGAATGTTAAGGCAAAGCAAATGAGATGCAACATTGTTGATAAGCTCTGATCGGGTGCTATGGAAAAATAAAAATACACACCTGTGGGAAAAAACTACACCAAAGGACTAAGGGCAGTTGCACACATGTGACTTTGGCTCAGTTTTAGGGTCAGAGTGACAGGGTATCAAATACTAGTTCCAGGCCCTTAAGATGGGTCACTGAGAACAAGGAGTCTTTCTGAATCTTCATTTTTTTCAGTTATAATTACACAGGCTACTGTAAGGGTTAGCACTCTATTTAGCACATGGCAGACATCAGCTGAATGGTAGTTATTTTACTTTTTATTGGTAGTGTGGTTACACTGCCTGTATTGTGATTATCTTGTAAATAAGAATGTTTTAATTATTGGATCAATATGTAGGGAATTTCCTGAATGGACACCCTTCTTAAAATGAGCTATGTTCTCCCTTTAAACTTTCATTCACTGCATTTTTCAAAATGAATCAAGTGTGAAAATAGCATTTCTATTAATCTATATATAACATTTACAAATTGTTCTGTCTTATCTGTTTGGTAACTTTTTTTAAACAGTAATTAGTGGCTATAAAAGAAGAGTAAATTTGTACATTTAACTCATAAAACTCAACAGACACACTTGCTGTTAGGATTTCAAATGTAACACCGACATTCTCTGCGGTGTCTCTGTATGTTCTCTGTTGAGATCCCATATGATCCTGCACATTCTGAAGAACGGATGGCTTTTGAGTATACACTCCATGATCAAATAGGACAGATAGGAGCAATGTTCTTCCGGGTTCAAGGCCACTAATTAAAAACAGGTTGGAACATTGAATTTTCCTCCGTATCATAGATTCCTTCCTAACTCAGAACTGGACATCCAAGGTCCTTCATGGAACTGTATGTTATGAACTACAAATGCTCCACTCTCCAAAATACATATTTAATAAGCATGCACAATTATTATAGATGTGTGATACCACTACTTTTTCCAAACAGGTTTTCTTTTCATCAGTGTCTGAAACAAAAGCTACACTACCTTTTAGATGAAGAGTAGTTATAAGTAACCACATGTCAGGTGACATTCTGCCTTTGCATTTGACTTTTTAACCATCCAAACCTTGATGGCATGCTTTATGAACAAACCCTACATTATTAAAAAAAAAAAAAAAAAAGCCCGACCTCACAGCTCACTACTGTGTGATTCATAACAAAGAACACATTCTTGTTTTGAAGATCTTGTTACAGGGACAGAAAGACAGCTCAGTTAAGCAAAGACGCCAACAAGACAGCCAAACACACGACTTCTAAGCACCTGCGGTGTCTGGTGTGTGGTAGAAGTGCCTTCGCTGGAAAGCCAGGGTGACGTTCTGCATGTGGCATCAGCTCCAGAGGTCTAACTTCTGAAGCTTTCACAACAGTTTGAAGTCAGAGAAATCAGGGGAGGGAAAAACAACAACAACAACCACCACCACCAAACCTATGAGAAGAGGGCTTTCGATGAAGCAATAAAGAAATCGGTTGTCGCTGATTTAACCGTGTGTTGAGTGTCTGCTATTACCAGTTTGTCCTTCTGGCGTTCACCATGGATGAGAAAGCCGCTTCGTCCATTGCCTTCGGGGTGCATGACCTTACAGACCCCCACGCGACTGATCCCGCCTCCTTCCTGTGGGAACCATCCCCCGCTGGAGTCATCTCTGGTCATAACCACAGCCTTGACACGCACAATATAGCTGTCACTAAAACGACAACAACAAGAAGAACGGGGCATGACAATGGTCTGGTAGCTGCAGGACACATTTCGCAATACAAGATGAACACCGGCCGGCACTGTTCTGGACTCATCAAGAGAAAAATCGATGCCTGGTGGTAGCCTTAAAATGTGGCCTTTCTCAAATCTGCGGGGGGGGGGGGGGTTGACAAAAAACACTTAAACTAAATATACTGCGAAAGTATATTTTTAAAAAGACACCCAGTAATTTAAAAATATTTGAGAGTCTCTGGAGATGTATATAGGCATTAACACTCTAGTTTCTGGGTGTAAGTTTTAATAACAAAATGAATGACCTAATTGCTTCAATTTATTATCACCAAATAAGAAAGACAAACCTACGAATTTAAGAGGATATTATAGTTTCAACCCTTAAAAACTTAGTTTACAATGAATGACTTAGGCTTAACATTTTATAAAGCTAATCATCTTCTGACTTAGCATAAGAACAGGATAATTCCTTTCCAAATTGCAAATTCACAATGCAATCGTGTATCTAGGTGGGAAAAGATTTCAGTTCTAATACCCTTTACACATGCGTAGCCTTCTGTTTATGATTTTATTTTTTCCAGTCTAAACTTCAATTTCGCAATAAGTTCTCTTGCACATTTGCCAAAAATCCTCTTTCTTCTCCAGAGACCATCTCTAGTTCTTTTCATTCTTCATCGCTTTTGGGGAAACGTATTTGGGTTTTTCAGCAAGGCCATTTAAATTCTCATTTGCTGTTTTCTTTCTTTGGATAGAATTCATTTTTTACTCATTCAAACATATATTCACATCTTCTACATGCCAGGCACTGTGCCAGATTCTAGAGAAACAAAGATGTAGAGTCCCCTTTCCTTGGGACTCAGGGAAGACACCACCACCCCCCTACCCCCAACGCCAGCCAGAGCCTGGCCACTGCCATCTCCAGTCCACCAGAGATCATTTAGACACCGTCCCTCTGCCCTCCGCCCCTGCTCACCGCACTCACCCAGATTTCCCATGACTCCCTGTGGCTCAATATCTACTACCCCCCAACCCGCTCCCGCTTATTTCCACATCCCTTCTTCAGATCATTCCTTTCATTTTGAAAACGGTAAAATACGGAGTAACACATACCATTTTAACTGTACAATTCTTTGCCTTCATGAAGTACGCGGCCACGGCTCTACAACTCTCCCCACCATCCATCTCCAGGACTTTTTTTTTCCATATTCCTAGGCCACAACTCCATACCGTGAAACACTAAACCCCCTCACCGTTCTCCCCTCTGCCCAGCCCCTGCAATCACTCTTCTACTTTCTGTCTCAATGATTTTGACTGCTCCAGGGCCTTTCCAGAAGTTCCTCACTTTCTGAGCCCGCATGGAAATGTGCTCTGGGGCTGGGCTTCCGGGGCCCACTGACACCAGGCCGCTGTCTCTCTCCTGCAGCCCTCTGGTTTCTCTGGTTTCCCAAGTCTGAACATGCCGCCACCACCCTCCTCTTCAACCTACTACAGAACTCTGGGATGCAGCCCTTCCCTCATTCCTGGAAGACAGTGGCATATAGGCCCACTGTCCTCCATCTCTTACAATGACCCCTGCTGTGATTCTTGGTAATCTCCTTATTCACACAGACTATCCGTACAATTCCTTGGCCTCTCAGTTTCTGGAACTCTTCCCCAATGCCCTTGTCTTACATCCAACCTTAGGTATCCCGGCCTAGGTCATACCTGTGGCCTTGTCATTACTGATATCTGCACCACCTCCTTAACCTCAATTTTACGCAGCCTGCTCTCCAGCTGCCACTTCCCATCTTTGCAGCTCACTCCCTCCACATTCCTCCAAGTCTTCACCCCAATGGGACCAACCATCTATCATGCTGATTCCTTCCCCTCTCCCCTTTATGTTCTCACTTGATTCACTACTCAAGTTCCATAGTCTACTGCAACACGTTTTTATACAAAAACTTAACATGCTGCCCTCTCTTTCTCCACTGTAATGCCCGGTGAAACCCCAATCCTGGTGGAATTCTACCACCTCCTTAACTTCATGCCCTACCCAGGCTGTTGAGTAGGACTCTGTTCATAGGTCTAGTTTTAAAGTCATTAATCTCAAGTGGGCATAGACTGCTCCATTTCCCTGATCTGTTCCCAAGAGGATTATTTCATGGGTCCACCTACCCTGTCCCTCTCAAATGATGGATGAGTTTGCTTTAATTTCCCTGGGAAGATAGGAAAGTCAGAAGGGACCTTGCACCCATGCCCACTAGCATGCCTATGACTCTGTACCAGTTCTGCCTCTCCTCCCTTAACTACGGCTAAACCATCCATAACCCAAGTCGGGGTCAACGACGCCACTTAAAATTCTTCTAGGTGCTAACAGTGCCCAAATTCACATGTCTGCCCAGACCCTTTCCCTAAGGTTCAGATCCGTAAAATCAACTGCCTATGTGATTTCTCTCCTTAGGTTTCTGGTAGGCATCTCAATTAATGTTTCAGAATGAACTCTTAATTCTCAATACCTTTTTTATCCAACTGGTTTTCCCTTCAAAATATAGCCAGAATCCACTTTTTACTACCTCCATTGTCACTGCCCTGATCCTAGCTGCCATCACCTCTCAGACTACTGCAACCACCTCCTAACTGGACTTCCTACTTCCACACCCGCCCAACTTTCTAAGAAAATAGAAAGGTGAGTCAGATTATGATTCTACTCAAACAAGCCATCCAATGAGCTTCCTATGTTACTCTGAGTAAAAATGAAACTCAAGCACTTATCATTCTCCTCCTTGCTCATTCTACTTCAGTCCCTTTGCCCCTGTCTTCCACATCAAGCACACTATGACCTCAGGGCCTTTGCACTTGCTATCCCCTCCTCCTTCCTCCACACTAACAGCTCATTTCTTTATTTCCTTCAGGTCTCTGCCCAAGGTTATTTCATCGGAGAAGACTCTCTGTCCACTTTACATAAAGTAGTACCTGCCAATCCTCTTAAATCTTCTCATCCTTCTTTATCTTTCTACATGCTACTAAAACAACATTTGCCCTATTTGTTTGCCCACTTTTCCCAACTAGATTGTAAAATCCAGAGAACCAGGGCCTTTGCCCTTTTTGTTCACTGCTACATCCCTAGAACCTACAGCACTGTTTTATATATGGTAGGCTGTGGAATGAATGGGTTACATGCATGAAATTTATAGAAAGGTTTTAAAAAAGTTATTTGTAGCTAACTAAATCTGAGAAAAAATAAAGCATTCAATACTCATTTGCTTATGAGCCACAAGAGTGTAGTTGACATAGGATAAAGATTTCATTAATAAGAAAACTAAATGTAATAATCACATGGTTTCTATCATTAATCCATTCATCTCATGATTCAAACCCATATTCCTTTAGATCACAGAGATTAGGAACATCTGGTAACATTTGTTTACATCAGTTATATACAAACAAGTTGAGAATATATTCCCCCCCAACCCTCACCACGTCCTATTCATTATAGAAAATCTAAGGGCCCCCAGGATTTGTAACTCTCCAGTATGAAACACTCAGCTTTCTCAGATCTTCTGTGAGTGTACGAAGGGTTCATCCCCATAGGAAATGGTCAAGGTGAGTAACTGAAACTACACAACTCTTGTTAGAACATACTTTTTACTTTTTATGTGCTGCAGCTGTCTGCTGTTCTCCCCTCCTTTGAGGGGAGTAAGCAGACATGAAAAAGGGAAGTTTGCATGACTTATGTTGGTGCCATAAACTTACTTCCAAAAGGTATTCAGACACCGGCGTTTTTAAAAAAATACCCCACCCCTTGGCTTCTAGACTACAGGGGCTGCTAATTTTGGTCTTTGCTTGCAGTCTGCCACATCCTCTTTCTTGCCCTAATTCCTCCTATGTCCCTTCCCAAGAGTGCTGATTCCTCTGCGATGGGGTGTGTGTGTTGGGAGCCAGGGGAACAGAACCCCCCGCCCCATCTAGTCTGGCCACAACCCCAACAAGCCAGCATTTACTAAGGCATCTGGCTATTTGACACCAGGCAGGGGGATAACGTGTTGCACTGAAAACTGTGAAGGCTGTCTGGATAATCCAGCTGCATGGCCAGAGGCCAACTGCTTCCTATCTGTGGTGTATTTATGTTACTCAGGCACGTCACCCCACCCAGAACAGAAACGACAGTGAACTCGCGACCAAAAAGGTATACGGGAGGAAAACTCCCTTCCTACCTTCCCTCTGTCTCTTTCTGGAAAGAATTAAACAACATGTTTAAGCCAGATGTTGGGTTTGTTGGGGGAGGATGGGACAGGAAGGGCAAGGCAGATTAGTTTTTTCATCTGCGCAAGGAAAATGGTGCTGATATGCTTCAGAAGAAATTCAAAAAATGCTATTATTGTCAAAAATAACAAAACTTTAAAAAATGCTTCTGGAAGGAGCAAGTGCTAACCCGGTATAACCCGTCAGGGACCCGGTGAAGTTCCACGTGTAGATCCAAACACTAACTGGACAGAGCTCTAATATCTGAGCTGGAGCTAAACTGCCCCAAAGTCTCAGTGTCATTACATATGGGATCTGACTACCACCCCTCAAATCACATCCTATCCTTTCAGTGCATTATGAGCAAAAGAGGCTTCTGTGAATTGAACTGGAGCTCTGCCACTGAAACGTGGTTTCTTTTTTTTAAAAAAGATTTTATTTATTTATTTGACAGAGAGAGATCACAAGTTGATGGAGAGGCAGGCAGAGAGAGAGAGAGAGAAGCAGGCTCCCTGCTGAGCAGAGAGCCCGATGCGGACTCGATCCCAGGACCCTGAGATCATGACCTGAGCCGAAGGCAGCAGCTTAAACCACTGAGCCACCCAGGCGCCCTGAAACGTGGTTTCTTTAAGGAAAAAACTTTGCATTCCGAACGTGGGGGCTTATCTGTAAAAGTGAGACTTGTTCTGTGATCAATGAATGTGCAAAAGAGGGAGGGGACATCCTAGGGCAGGATGGGGAGGCAGGGTAAGAACA